AAGAGGAGGAGCAGCTCTCGATAAGTGAGTGCCAGCGAAGAATGAGAGAGATGGGAGAAACGGCTCACCTCGGGCGTGGGCATGTGGAGAAGGACGAACACGGTGCCCTGCTCATCGATGAGGACGGCGGTGCAGCATTGCGCGCCGCCCCAATCGAGCTGTCTCGTCAGCTGGAGGAGTGCCGCGACTCCGGCCCTGAATCCTTCGCGCGCAGAGTGAGGCGGGGCATTGGTTACCAGGAGCGAACCCTGGAGTGGGTGCGTGATTTTACGGGCGATGCGCTGCTTGAGTTCCTGCGACGCCTGCCGGCTGAGGACGGAGCAGAGGCGCGCCGATTCTTGCGCGCCCGTCACAACACGGTAAAGCCACCTGCCCCACGCCCCCCGAGTTCTGCCTCATCCCGATGACCCTGACCTGTGAATTGCGCGCTTGCGTTATATCCGCGAACGGACGTAGAAGAAGTTGGGCGCCTTGGTTCGCTCATTCTAATCTGGCGATGCATGGCGCAGTCCGTGTCCGCAGATCAGGAAGGTGGGCCAAGGCGCCCGTTATCTTTAAAATGTTGGATAACGTGGTTTGTGAGAGAGCGTCTGCATTCTTCGCGCGTGCCCTCGCTCAACTCTCACTCAGCGCTGTCCAGATCCTTGCCGCGAGCACGACGAACGCCGATGCCAGCCCATTTGCTGAGACAGAAGATTGGGACGGGCTTCGGGGCGAGCCAACTGTGGGCGACTATGTCGACAGCAACGTGCTTGTGATGATGCCCATGGTTAGGGTGCCACTTCTGTTTCGTCACTGCAAGGGTCACTCGGTCCGATTCGACCCGAAGCGCATGCACATCAGGTATGATGCGGCAGCGAACCAGGCCAGTGTTATCACATTGGACGATGCCTCGATGAAAAGATCTACGACCGGGCATGTTGTACCGCCGCAGGGGGGTCTCCAGGGCGTTCGGCAGTGCCGTTTTCTGACCTGTCTTCCGACCCTGCTTGGACCTTATCCTGCCGCAGCGGGCCCAGTCGCCAAAGACCAGGAGCGGGGTCTTTCTAGGGGCAGTCTGGCTATCCCCGGTATCGCAGGAAGGTAAGTACGGCGAGCCACAGGGAGCCGCCAACGCGGATTAGACCTGGAGGGTGGGCGCGAGTTGTGGTTGGCCAGGCTTTGGACGCCGGTGTTTTTGGTCTGGACGCTCCGCGCTTGCTCTCGGAGCGTCACGTGCTAACTTTCGAGCGCCGCGTCTTCGAGAACTTGGATATTCGGATTCAACGCGATGGCTCTCTGACGACCACATTTCGGCCCAAACGGAGACACATTCATCGGATCATGCGTGTTACCGTGTCGGGGGTGCAGCGTAGCCGGGCATCGTAAGTTTTGGTCCATGACTGTGGTACGCTGCGCTCAAGGTCTGCCCCTGCTTCGACACGGCTAGCATAGATTGGACTCGACAGCGCCAAGTCTTCGCGCGGATACCCGATGAAGACGACGATGATGCGCTCGCTTCTATTGAGAAGAAGACTGCGCTCTGCGCGCCTAATGATTTGGACGACGGCTACCTTCAGTGCGGCAGCATTTGCCGCAATCGGTTGGGGTCGCTGAGCCTGTGCAGCGCGACCCAATTATCATTGAACCCGACGTGATCAGGCCGATGATTGATTACCGAGAAATCGGACTGGCCGAGCGGGATCGAGAGGGCAATGCCCCTGACCCTACGGCGCGGAAGTGGGCGGCCCCCGGCACCGGCAGCGCGCAGGCATAAGCGCGACACAGTTGGAAGGACGCCGGCATTGGGGGTATAGCCGCTCGCAGAGACAACGCTCTGCAAGGAAAGACCGCGCTACGCAGCAACGTCACGGCGGTCTTTGCCTAGATGCCCAGGGCCCCAGATGACGAGCTACTTGCACCGCAGATTCCGTACAAGCTGTAAGAGGCAAAGAAGCTGGCTCACAGGTGGGTCAAGTTCCAGAACAAGACGCCTGCAACTGGGAGAAACGCAGACGTTCCCCATTGGATATGGCGGCCGTGCATCAGCAGGAGGATACTGAGTGGGGAAGGCCATGCAATCTGGGAGCCGTTCGACTGGGACTGCGACCATCCAGAGAAACGCCGTGGTGGTGAATATTCTAGCATGAGATGGTCTGCGCGGCGTGCAACGTCCCCGCGGGCCGTTGAAGTCGAACCGCTCAGCCAATTGAAAGCTGCCATGGAACAGGAAATAGAGGATCACCAGCCGCGGGCGGAATTGCCGAGAGCTCCAATACCGACAGCGCGTGGAGCGAGGGCCTGGACACCACCCGACTATGTCGGAGCCGGTGCCTCTTCTCGGGTGCAATCTGCCAAACGAGCAAATTTGCAGTGTTCCATGAGGCCTGAGGGCTGCCCTACGGCAGCAAGGATGTCGGACGACGCCGAGGGCCAAGGGTTCGAGAAAGAGGACGACGGCAAGGGGGCTAGCAGGGCAAGCAGTCGCGCGCTAGATGCTCAACGGGAATCCAGGCGACGCCGAGCCGTGAACCCGACCCAGTGGGACACGTTCTCGCACGCGGGGGCTGCCCCTCCAAGTTCCGCCACGGCCGCGAGACCGCCAGCGGCCAGAGATTTCTGGCCGGGCGCGCTCTGGCGCATGGAGGCAGGCGCCTCGCGGCGCCGCGCGGATGATGCCTTTCCACGGCGCGCGTGCGCGGACAGCGAGCAGCAGAGTGCGGATTCCTTTGCCCCGTGGCAGGCGAGCGCCAGGTTTGGCGGTCGCCTCGGAGCTGGAGCTCAGGCGCGACGACTACAGTTGGGGGTGGGAGGAAGAGATCGAGGACGAATGCACGGCGATGCCGATGGTACTTCCTCGAGGCGAACAATGGCGGTTCGAGTGCGTCCAGAACGGATGAAGTGAGCCGCCCAGCACTGAGGTGCCACGCGCCGAGTGTCCCAGAGCGCAGTGAGCCAGGTAGCTGGAGTGTTGCCTGACGGGCGCGGTGGGACGGGCTGCTTTATAGGCGAATTGGGGGCGTTGACGAATCGTCGACGTCCACCCGCGCGAGTGGAGTTCGCTGGGGGGGCCGCGGGGGGAGTTGATTTTGTCGCGCACCTGCCATTCCTCAGTGACTATAGTCTGTACATACCCGCAGTTGCATTGTTTGCGATCAGGTAAAGAAGGTGAGCGCCCGCCCGCCGGCCGGCCGGCTGGCCCTCTCTCTTACCAGGTCGATGCCAGTCAGACCTTAACGGCGCAAGGTCACATATCGCCATGATTACAATACGTGCGTCACTTATCCACCACTGGAACCTGAGCAAAGATTAGTGCAATAAGAACAAGAGTGGTATTCACATGATGCGCAAACACACACTTTGCTTTATAATCCGGCTGCGAAAGCTCCCCTCATGACGCAGACCCAGCAAACTATTGGATCGTCTCGAAGTGGAGCCTGGACCGCACCGACGTGCATTCTCAGCCCTCGCCGCCGAAAGTGGAAGTTTGTCTTAAAGTCGTGCGTTCGGTCGCACGTGCATGTCCTCGACACTCAGTTTTTCAGAGTGCATCAGCGCGTGCTAGCGTCTGTTAATCGATTAGCCAGCGCCGGCATAGCGTTAGCGTCGACTAGGAAGGGCCAGCGAGATGACACGGGAGGTTCCGATGAGTTGCCACATGATGCGCGCCCCGTGGCTTAGATGGAATGTGCCGAGTGCCACGCGCAGCCCGGCGGTTTGGCTGCCGCGTGTTGCGCGGGGCGTCCGGCTGGCGGGTCGCGTTCTCCCCGCCCCCCGTCCCTTTTTCCATCCCCCCTTTCCGCGTGATCTCTGTCGTGTCGTCCCTCCGTCGTCGCTTCTTCTGTTCATGTTTCTCTCTCTCTCTCTCTTTCTTTCTCTCTTCCTCTCTGCCGCTGGGCTCCTTTTCCGGCTGGTAGAACAAGTGCGGAATGCCATGCCGGGGCATGGTTCACTCCGTCGGAACGGCCCGTCGGGTCGGCGGTCCTTGTGCCGCCAGCAGGGGGGGGCACGTCCCGCACGCCCCCCCGCCCCCGCCCCTCCCTATTTCAGCGCAGCTGCCCGCGCAGGGCGCGCGGCATCCCGCCCGCTGCGTTGCCACGCGACGGGGTGGATGGATTTCCCCGTGGAGGTCCCCAGGGGTACGAGTTGGGGTTTTGTGGAGGTGCAGATCGTGTGACTCGTGAGCTTTCAGGGGTTTCCGCGAGGCTCCGTCATTGCAGCCCCGCCTTCCGTCGGGAGAGTGACCTCAAGGATCCCATGCCTGATCCTTTCTTTCTCCAGAGCTAGATTTGATCCCAGCTCGCCCAAAACCTCTTCGTTACACGGAGGTCCGAGGTGTCGGACCTTGAAAGAGCGGCCGAAGTCCTAAAAATTGGCAGCGGGGGACCAACACCCATTTGACGTTTGGTGCCATTTGTGGGCCTGTGAAGCGATGAGGTATTTGAATCGTTGGGAACCGTCCAAACACCACTTCAGAGTTGCTCCGCACGGCAGGTCGAACATTGCCTAAGGTTTTTTCGATTGGGGCGTGGTTCACCTCAAAACTATCAGCAGCAGCTGCAGTTCGAAGTCTTGCAGCGGCTTTGTAAAAGGCTTGCCACCATCCACGACCGCCCGCTGATGGGCTGACGCGTAAATTTTGTGCCTTGCAGCCCAATCCCAGTTTCTCTGCCTTTGGAGCTTGAGCTGCAGCGGTGCACTGGAAACCTCAGAGCCCTCAGAGCAAGCACGCTGGCCCCACGCCGATCCGCCGCCGCTGCTGCCAGTCCGCTCACCTGCGCCCCTGCTCGCTCCGCCGCGCCAGCTTGCGCCGCACGCCAGCATCGCTCCCCGGCGCCAGCCGGGCGCACGGTGACGCCGGCGGCGGCGGCGGCGGCGTCGGCAGCGGCTGCGACAAACGGAGCCGTCGGCGATGTTGTCGGCGACAGTGTCGGCGGCGGTGGCGGCGTCGGCGGCGTCGGCGGCGTTGGCGGCGGCGGCAACGGCGGCGGCGGCGACGCGCCCCTGCGCCGCCTCGACAGAATTTCCCGGCTGGGCGGGCGGTGACGACGCGGAGCGGGGCATCACCCGCGAGGAGCGCGGCGTGCCGCGGGGCCGGCCACAGAGAGACATGGGCGGCGTCGCTGTTGCTGCTGGCCGCGGTCGCCGTCAACCCGGAAGGCAGGATTCCGGAGCAACGTTAGGGGGGGATTAGGGTCGGGGGGATGCATCGACCCCGAATCGCCCACTCATCGCTTGTGTGGGGCTTTCTTGCCCAACCCGCCCAGAGCCATGCGGATTCGCCATCGGCGGCCAATCGCCGCCTTCTCCGCGATATATCGCCGATTTCAAGTCGATGTTTCCTTCTCTGAGCCAGCCCCCCTCTAACATTCCCCCTTAGGGGCGGGACCGCCCTCGACGGGGCACAGTCGGCGTCGTTGCTGCCCGTGGCTTTTGTTTTTTCGTGCGACGATTCTAGTCCAAGGCATGTGCGAGTCGCTCTTCCGCCCCCTCTTCCGCCCCCTCTCCCGCCCTTGGAGGAGGTGGGATGGAGGAGAGGTGCGAGTGGCTCTGGCCAGGAAATTCTGGCATGCGGCGCAGGGCGGTGCGTCGCCGTCGCCGTTGTCGCGGCCGTCGCTTCCGTTGCCGCTGTCGCCGTTGACGTCGTCGTTTGCTCGGCAGCCATCTAGCGCCCTGCCTGGCGCTGCTCTGCTGCCCCTCGCGCGAAGAGAAGGTTTTTGAGTCTCTCTGGGCGTCGTCTGCCCCCCGCAGGAAGGCGCCGCGGACGCCTCGCTTGGAGCCCTCCTGGGAACTCCGGAGGCCTCTGCGCAGGCTCTCTGGGGAGCTTCTGTGAAACTCTTGGAGGCCTCAGCTTTGCCACGGCTCGGGCCCTGCCTGGCTCTGTACAGCTGCTCCGTGCAGTGCTCTGACATGATCTGCCTTGCCGGGCCGTGCCCTGCCTTGCCTCCTCGCAGTGTTGCGGCCCGTTTCGTTTTGCCATGCTTTGCCGTGTCGTGCCCGGTTCCCTGCCTGACCTGGCCCCGCCCGACCCGGCTGTGATGTGTTGTGCTCTTTTTTGCGCCGAGAGTCCAAGCCAGGGACGTGCCGCAGAGGGCTTCGGACACGTCGCTTGGCGTGCTGGAGGCTTCTGCTTCTGGCCTCTGGTCCTACGCAGTGACCGTCCAGCACTCGGCGCCAGGAGGCTAAGACGCGGGCACGATGCGCTGGCCTTCTGCCCTGCGCGGTTTAGCTCCTGATCGCTCGGAGTAATTGCGGCGTGGATTTGTTTGCTAGCCAGAAGGGTTGCGAAGACTCTCAAGCAAAGAGGCTCTCTCTCTATATATATATATATATATATTTATTTATATACATGGTATTCCCCTTCGAGATCGGTCGTCTGTTCCCTACTTTCAGCGCGTCACTCCCATTATTCTTTAATCGCTTCGCTCATTCCGCCAGCCCATATTGCGCACCGCGGTGGCCTGGCCGAGTGGTCGTCGGCAGTGCGGAGCTGCAGAACGGCGCCCCCAAAACGTTTCCAGAGGCTCTCAAGAGGGCTTCAAAACGGCTTCAGAGCGCCTCAGGACAGCCCACGAGAGCCCCAAGACGGCCCAAGGAGGGCCTTTTGGGGTCCTCCGTGTGCCTCTTGAAGGCGTGTTGGCGGCCTTTTGGAGCCTCCTGGGGACCTCTCCGGGCCAAAAGCTCGAAATATCCGTTCGGGTGCCCCGTCTGTGCTCGCTTTTAGAGCCGTCTTGGAGGCGTCTTGGGCCATCTTGGAGGTCTCTGGGACTGTCTTGGGGCCCTCTTGGACCCTCTTGGCCTTATCTTGGTGGCTTGTTGGGCCGTCTTGGGGCGATCTTGGGGGCCTCTTGGGCACGTTTGGACGCTGTGAACCCCAGACGTCGTGTATGCGAAACATCGTACTTTTTCCTAATGGAATGGGACGAATTCTGCTTGTTGGAGCCCTCTTGGAGAGCCTCTTGAGGCTCTCTTGGGGCTTCTCGGCGGCCTCGAGGCCCGTATGAATGCCATCTTGGGCGTTTTGGACCGCTCGTTCGGTGACTCGGACCGCTTTTGGGCTGTCTTGGAGGCCTCTTGGGGCCCTCTTGGCACGCTCTGGGGGGCCTCAGAGACCGCACCTAGCAGGAAAACCATCTCTGAGTAAAGGGTGGCCGGGGTGCGCCCGGGCGGCGGTCGGGGTACTTTTCGCTGGGGGACCCCCAGGGGCCGCCCCACGCGCGCGAACCAGAAATATTGTTAACCAGTTAGGAGATCTTAGCACGCCTCTGGCCCGTTGGGCTGGCGAATTCTGAGCTTTCCAGTTCCGCCTGTGGGTTCTCGGTTCAGCAAGTCCTTGCAATTCCCTGTTTGCCGGTTTTTTGCCATCTTCGGCCTTGTCATCATTTGTCTCCTTCTCCGAACTCGTCTATTGACTCAATCTGGGCTTACAGGTCGAGATGGCGGTTGCGCAGGATCTATCTTGTCCATGCCACCTGAGCAGCGAGGCAAACGGGTTCATCTTCACCGACATTGACGCGTACGATCGCGCGTAAGGTCGCGCATTATCGCCCTCGCATCCAAGGTAGCGTTCCGCGCTAGCGGCTCGCGTACGCCACCGCGGAATGTCGCTATGTCATTTAGCAAAGGATCTGTTTATTGCTTGACACTTGACTCAATATGGGCTTCCATGTCGAGGTGACCGTTGCCGGGATTTCACCTGGTCAGTGCCATCTCGGGAGGACGAACCGGGAATACAGTTGGCACGAGGGTAAGGGCAACCATACGTTTCGATGGGGAACCCTTGCGTTATTTTCGCCGTTGGGCTCTCCAGCTGGGTATCTCCATGGGGCCCTCCCCTCGGCGAAGGGGCTCATGCTCTGGATCAGCGGTCTTCTTGCCATGCTTCGACTGCAGTTTCGAGGCAGGGGCAGAGGATGTGCTACTGCTCCCTGTCCTCTGCTGGCCAGTTCTGAATTCTCCCGCGGGCAATTATCATGGTGCGGTGGCCGACGCTGAACTATCGGTGTCGTAGCTCCGCTCAGGGGGCGGGGGCTTTTGCGCTGCATTCGATCCAGAAAGGCATGCCGATGCTTCAGATTGGAAGGGACCTTAAGGAGAACGGGACACGCGTGTTGCCACTGAATGAACATATTTCCTTCCTTTTGTTTGCTCTCTTTCTCTCTCTGTCTCTCTCTCTCTGGTTTCGCTCCTTCGCGTCTCTCTCTCTCTCTCTCTCTTTCGCTCTCTCGCTCTCTTCACTGCACCCCTCTTTTCCGCTCGCCCATCCCTTCTGGGCCTCTCCCGGTGTGCGCTCCGTTCAGGATCTCGAGGGGAGCCCCGCCGCAGCGACGGGAAGCCTCCCAAGAGGGAGCCCAGAGAGGGCGCAGCCCGCTCAGAAGTCTCGATTCCCGAATCTCGATTCCCGAATCCTGCAGGACGTCGATCTGACGCCGTACACCATGTGGAACTCCGCCGTCTTTCCGCAGGCCGGGGCAGCACTGGCCAGCAGGGGCTGGCGCAGCAGGGCCAGGGGCCACGTCAGGGGGGGATGAGCTTATGAACTTATGAGGGGATGCACCGACCCCCAGTCGCCCATGCATCGCCGATAGCGGCACGATAGTTCGCCTCGCCCAGGAATTTGCGGATGCGTTTTCGGGGGCTCATCGCCGATCAGTCGGCGACCTATATATCGCCGAATCCTGGTCGGCGTCGCCTCCCTCGGGCCAGTCCCCACCTCACGTTCCCCCTCAGAGCGTGGGGGAGGATCATTGGCTCGGGTCGCCCAATTAAGTTAGGGGGGGGCTCGAGAGCACCTGGTGGCGGAAGATCCCCCGACACCCTCCCCCCTCGTTTCGCCATGATGGAAAGGGGTCTTGAGGGGAAGGGGTCCTGAAGTTTTTCCGTGTTTTCGGAATCCCCCTGGCTCTTGCCGATCAGAATTGGTAGCGCGGAGCAGGATCACACACGGAGAACGTAGAGGCGAATATCTGAGGATCGGAGAGTTCAGGTGAGGCTCAACAGTGGCGTCGGAATCAGCAAGTCGTGGTCTTCGAGACCGGACATTTTCGGCGGATGCCCTGGACCCCAGAGAGTACAAGAGATGGACGCAATTGGCGAAGGGCCCGTTGTTTTTCACATTGTGGACGGCCTGGCGCAGGCAATGTTCGACGACAACGAGGTGGACAGAGACCTGGCCGTTGAAGGAGGAGAGAATCTGAGATTCCAGAGGCTAGCCCAGAATTGCACAGACACGGAGCCCGAGGACAGACTCGCCGAAACGCTCGACGCGATCTACGACCCCACATGGGAAAACAACGAGACCGCCACGGACTACGTGGGGCGGACGCTCCAGGTCTTCGCGCGCGCACGGCAAAAAAGGAGTCACGTACCCTGAGGAGGCTTGGGGTCTAGCGCTGCTGCGAGGAACCCTTCTCGAGGCCGCCTGTCGCGCGGTGGTGTTGGGGGGTGTTCACAGATCATGGAAGGTTAGCAACCTGCCGGCGGCGCTGAGGACGACTTACCGAATGCGGCCGAAGGCTAGCCATCGGATGGTGCACCTCGCGGAGGAGGAGACCGTGAGCGACGACATGGTGACGGAGGAGGCGGAGACGCAGGCGTTGCTGGCAGATCATGAGGAGGACGACGCGCCGGAGGAAAATATCCTGGACGAGCAGGACGCACCCGACGCGCTCGCGACCTGGTCTAAGAACCCCGGGGCGTGGAAGGAGGCGCGGGTGGCTAGCAATAGCTCGAAGTTGGCTCGAAAGTTCGGTGGTTCCAAGAGCCCGCTGGACAAGGTTGGCAAGATAATGCAGTGCTTCAACTGTCGCAAACTGGGGCATTTCTCGAGAGGAATTCCCGATGGAACTGCCCAAGGCCGCGGAGAAAGCCCACGGGGGCATCACCATCGTCATCATCGGCGCTGCCTTCGACGACTCCGGCTCGATCGGTCAGGTTATGCTCAGTGTTTTCCGTGGCGACCTGCAAGACGCCCTGGGGTCTAATTCAGTTGGCACTGGAAGACGGCCGAAGCACGCAGACGGCGTTGGCTACGCCTGACGAGGAGTCCGACACGACGGAGGAGAAGATGACGGGCCAGGCGTCGGACAGGTCGGTGAATTTCACGATCGAAGAGGGCCAGGGGTGCGTCGACAGCAGGCGTGCCAAAGGAATCGTTGGGGACGAGACGCTGAAGGTTCACGAGCAGAGGTGGTGCGCCGCCGGTGGCCACGAGATGGTTAGCGGTCACGTTTCGGACACGACGGCGATCGGTTTCCATTTCGGCAACATCGAGACGCAGAGGTCCAATCGGAAAGCGTGGGCGCCGCAGTGGATTGGCGACGCGCTCGTTCGAGCACGCGCGCGCGTCGTCCCTGGGGCAGCCCCGCTGTTTATTCCAAGTGGTGGGCCAAGGGTCTTGGTGGGCGCCTGGGTTTCGAGAGAGAGAGAGAGAGAGAGAGAGAGAGAGACCGGATGACCTTCGCCGCCGTCGAGCGCGGCGCAGCCCGCGACCGGCGCAGGGGAAGACGACGGCCCTTATACGGGCATGCGTCGACGTGGAGAAGACCCCGGACTGGAAGACGGGGGGCGCGGGGGCGCGCATGAAGAGAGGGCGGCATACGTGGAGGCATTCCAGATTTGAAACCGGCAGCGCCGACGAATGATCAAAAAGGGTCAATGGAGTCCGCGGCGTCAGGAGCTCGCGTCGAGGACATGAGCGACGTCGGGGTGCTCGAGCTGTTCTCGCCGCTGCGAATGGCGCAGGCGGCGGCCGCCGCTGGCGTCGCGAGCCCCGGGGCGGTCGACCTGGAGACGGGGAGGGCCTGGGCGGGCCTCAGGTCAGGCGACGGGCGGAGGAGATCAGTGAGACCGAGAGGCCGTGGCTGCTGACCACGCCGCCTCCATGCCGCATGCTATCTCAGCCGCGCGGTCCCAACCCCGTGCCGAAGGACGTGGGTCGGTAGATCCGGGACTGCAAGAAGGCAGTTGTCTACGTGCGCTGGCGTATCAAGATGGACCGAGGAAAGATGGCGCCTGGCGGAGTCTGTCCGTTCGAGGCGCCGCTTGGATGCGGGGCCTGGGCGCCGGCGGAGATGGGGGCCTTTCTGAGCGAAGCTAACGATCAGGCGCGCGCGGTGAAGACGGCGGGGTGCGCGCGCGGCCCGGCGGTGCCAGGCGCGGGCAGGGGGGTCGCCATGCAGCGGCGGTCCCTGACGAATGACTGGGCGCTGGCGGAGATGGCTGGCGGAGGTGCCCCGCCGAGGCGGCCGCGAGCACGCGCGTGCGATTCGCTTCGTGAGCGGCAGGCGACAGAGGAGCGAGCGCACGGAGACGCATCCCATTCCGCTGCCGGTCCGCATCGCGCAGGGAGCGCCGGCAGGGTTGGACAAGAGAAGGGCCGCGAAGGTCCCGGCGGCCGCGACAGAGCAGAAGGAGATGACCAAGTCTACGGATAATCAAATCAAGGTGGCGGCGATGAGGCCGCGCGAGAAACTGGCGCCCTCGCCCGCGCGCTGCGGCATGGTGGTGCCTGCGAGAAGGCGATGGAGTAAGCGGGCAACTGATGCGCGACGCATGCAGCCGGCACGTGGAACGGAAGGTCCAGCATCCAGCGGCGCCGTCGTGGCGAAGAGCCCGAACATCGCGGGCGCGGGCTCCGAGCTGCAGCAGGGCGGGCCATTCCTTGAGCAAGAGTCCTCGCGGGTGCTGCTCGGCCCATGCCAGAAGACGCGGGTGCAGCACTACCCTGCGCCACGTCGGGTGCAGATGGATTCCGGCCCGGCCGTGGCGGGCGGTTTCGAGATGGACGGGGCCGCGGCGGCGGGCAGATCGCCGGGCGACGCGCGCAGGCAGCGCGCGGAAGCCGAGGCGCATGGGCAGCGGCTCGGGCGGATGCTCAAGAAGGCGATTGGCGCCATGCAGACCGCGACGAAAGGGGTGGCTGGAAGCTGTCGCCCGCGCGTGCGAGGCCGAGGATCGACTGACACGGAGAACGGGCTACTCTCCTGTCCAGTGGGCGCTTGGCCGCCAGCCGCCCGTGCCAGAGGAGCTGCAGCCCGATGGGGAACTCCCGGTACTCGGCGGCGAGGCGCGCGGAGCGACGGACTTGGCCGAGCACCCGAGTTGGCGTGTGAAGCTCCTAAGGGCGATGGCCGAATAGTTCGGCGCAGTGACAGCCAGCGAGGTGGCCGATGGAGAGTTCAAGGGAGACGATCTTGTCGAAGAGGACACGAACGCGGTGGAATTCGAGGGCGGCAGGGGCGGCCGGCGCAGGCGGGGCCGGGCGCGAGCAGTCGGCGTAAGTGGTGCGTCGGGGCAGCCCGTTCATAAGTCATATATATATGTATACATTTGTTCGATGAAAAAGTTGGAAGGAGGCAGCGCTGAGCGCGCTGCCTGCGCAGGCGCGCACTCCGGCTCGAAGAATCCAGGCTGCCCGCGGGAGCGCGGGTTCCTGCTCGGGACCGGCGGGGGAAAGGTGCGAGCGAGATCCCGCGGCTGCTGCCGACGCCCGCCGATCGGCGCCTAGGGCGCTCCAAGTGCCTCAGGGTCGTCAGGAATCGGCACAGGGCGAACAGCTGGTCCAGCTGGTCTCGGCGGAGCAGGAGTCGGGGCTGGAGCGCGCCCTGCGCGGGGTGCTGGCAAACAGACTCGCGCATTCTTTATTGTGGACAATGATGTCGTCTGTCCAGCGTTTCAAAGGGCGGCCTGGTGCCCCGCGGCTGGCTGGCGCCTGTTCCAGCGCCACCTGCGACCGCCTGCCATCGGCGTTGCCGACGGCATTCTGCAGCAGTGCAGTTTTACTAAGCTTCTGTGAGCGCACCCGAGTCTGGAAACCCTCAGTCACATTTCTCCCAGGTTGCGCGGCCGATCTTCTCCACATATGGTTCGTCCACCACCCGCAGAGACAGACCTCGTCGTTGGCGTCGCGATGACTTCCCCGGACTTGCTGTCAAATTTTTGACTGGCGCGCTATCGCCCTCGACGCCGCCATGGTCTACGATCCCTTCTCGTTGACACAATCGTCAGAATTTGCCGTCTCGACATCGTGACACCCATGGAACGCACAGCCTGCGCCCGAGGTCAGATGCGCTTGCGTCCACTGAGAATACTCCCATCCTACCTGTGCCGACACCCTCGAGCGATTGTGCAAGCACCCCATTCCGGTCAGCAGTGTCAGACTGGAGGTCCATATTCCCCATGTGCAATTTCAGCCTGGCCCCCTCCAGCCCGCAATGATAAGTTGCCCAAGAAGTGCTGCACTTGCGTGCAGAGTTGCTCCGATCATCAGAATGTCTCCTGCGAGCCGGATGTTCGCGAGACGTTTGTTCCCCATGTGTCGCACCGAACGTTTATTGTAAATCCCTCTTGTTTTTGTGCCACGCATACTTGATTCCTTTTGACCGCGCATAATTGCGGGGGTTATTGGGCCCCCGGCGTCGACGACTCGCACGATCAGGCGCGATCTGCCCCGTTGTTTCTCGCGCGATTTGCACGGCGTTTGGATATGCGGACCCGGCGCGCTCTGCATGTCAGGAGCGCCCGCCAAGAGTCGTGGTTGACAGGTTCGGATGCTTTGTTGGAATCCAGAGGTTCAAATTGTGCTCGCACATGTCTCGCGCAGCTAAAACAGCGTCAACGAGTGACCGTCGCCACTATAGCCTTTCCAGAACCCCGCTGGGTCCATCGATAGTTGTCCTGTAGGGTACGGCGGCAATCGACCATGCAAAACCGTACTGGACAGTCTGTACACATCGGAAAAATCAAGATAGTTTGGCACGTTTGGTAGTTGCGGGTTGCTTTGTTTGAACAGACTTTCGATGCGCGTGGTCCTCCACGTCTGCGGAGGGTTGTTCCCAGTCGGTCAGAATATTTGCGAGGACTCGGCCAAGCTCTCCCATGAGATAGTCGCGACCGGCTTTGAACATCTCTGCGGCCGCGCCAGCCGGTTCCGACGCCCTGCGATGCTTCAATTTCTCTACATGCGTTCTGACCTCTTCCGTCGTGACTGGCCGACTATCTGACTGCGCGCTGGCAGATGACGGCGGAACGGCGCAAGCATCTTGAATGCTTGATTGCGCGCTTGCAAATGACGACGTATTCGTTTTTCCCCTTGGGCAGTGCTTCCAGGAATGTAAATCTTCAGAATTTCCGCAAATGCGTCTGCGATGCCCTGTCTGTCCGATGCGCTAACCCCCGTGCTATTGCTGACGCAAGTCAGTCGCTATGTCTTATAATTGTTCCCAACGTGATGCGTTTTCCTTATGTCGCACCATTCTTTTCAACTGCCGCATATTGTTTCTTGCTTGCGCTGTTGGCCCAAACTTCTTCATTCGCTCTTCAAGCGTTTGCTGATGCATTTGAGTGTCCTGTGCCCTTCGCCCCCTCTCCGTGCTGCCCGTTGCTCATCAAGCAAGTGCCGGATCTGAACGGGCAGTTGCGTCTGCTTCTGTTTCTCGGCGGCACGGTTGGCGTTGCCCTCTTCTGTACTCGACGACGCTGTTGCTTCGCTGCGAGTGCAAAGTTCCGCGGCCAGCATCGCGCCACGGGGCTCGTCCAAATCTCTCATGTTGCTTTCAGCCCAACGTAGCATCAAAGCCTAGATGTCCAGAAACACGCCGTTTGTTTTTCTGTTTGGTCAGCTCCCCGTGGTCGACCCCAGGCCAGGGCAAACGCAGGGTTAAGTTTACTCTCCGATGGTCAACTCCCGCCCCAATGTTTGGCATAGCTGCAGAATCTGTTGCGTGGGTGCTCATCTCCGTGCCCGTGCTGAACACATCAATTTGCCGATGCTTCATCCCATCCCATCGCAGTGCGTCGAGTTGCGCAAGATCGGCTTGGGAACCGTGAGTCCGCAATCGACAGGGTCTCTGCGGCGACCCGAGCGGCTAGGTCGTTACCTCTGCGACTACGTGCCCCGAGCTCGTGTTCTCCGATGCGCACGTTGTCCGCCAGATCAGAATTGCTCCTATTCAGAAGCATTGAAACCACAACCAGCAATGACAGCCAGATTTCTTAGCATTGCTTCTTGCTTACTTGATGGCATGTCAGCGCACAGGGCGTCGGTTTCCTCTTATGGCAGCCGTGCGCTCGGCATATACATTAGCAGCCATCGCACACCATGCGCGGCAACGACCATGTCAAGTCAGCAGACTCTGGCCGAGCGAGCTGTGAAAGAAGGGATGCGATCTCTCCAGCGCCCTTGCACCGCAATCGCAACACCGTTCAAATGCCTGCAACCTCCAGAACCCATGGAAACATGCACCTGCTTTGTTTGGAATGAATCCTCTGCTTCATTCCTCCATGTTTCGCTTAGCGATATCTTGCCCCATGTTCTCACATGCCGCAGCTCCGCGAACAACGTCCTGCAAATCGCTGTAGATGGTGATGTGTTCTCGCAAGTGTCACTCTGTTGCTCCTGCATTTGGATGATGCTTGCTTGCCTCATTGCAAGAATGCGGCTGATTACGTAATGATGTGGCCATGTTCGCGGGCAAGCCGCCGTCTGCATTGGAATATGTTCATCTCCCTCCCAATGTGCTCCATCCATGCTCTTGAATTGGCCGCTCTGAAAAGATGCCAGCTGCGTAAATTGTGCGAGTCCTTTTGGATGCCGATGTTCACCTACGAAAGGTACTTTGCTTTCGAACCTGTCACTTGCTATCCGGGCTCCGCCTGCTCCTCCAATCATCTATGCAATCTTCGGTTGTGCGCTGCACTGCGAGACCCGCGTCCTTGTACTTCACGGTGCCGTTCTCCATCGACGCCAATGGTTCGTTCTTGAACTCCACCACCTGCGCCCTCCATTTGATTTTGATGTCTTTTAGATCATGCCCGTAATCCTTATGCAGCCTCACCTTGATCTGCCCCACATGCATATCCACAACTCTCTTCTCAAATCAATCGTTGCATTTAATCTTCACTGTACGGTGTTCGTTTTCTCTGTAAAGCCGATCTTCCCCGCGATAGACCTGAACAGCCTTACGCCGATTCGCGACGGATCCGTAAAGGTAGCGATGTCCGTGCACGCACTTCTCCTCCGCGCCTGCGCTCCTGACGACCTCCCTCACCTGCTTGACGATATCCTCCTGATCCTTCTCCTCCTTCAATCCCACCGCAATCACCTGCAATTTCCTCGACTCCCCTTCAACATCCTTTTGGGCTGCTTCTTTCGCGCGCTGCTGATGTTGATCATGTTCCTCCATCTCCTCCTCCACCCTTTCCCTGGCCATCTCTGCGACAATGTCCTTCACCTTGTCCTCCGTGACTGAATCTGCCATGTCAAGACGCATGTTCGTAATATCCACCTCCATCTCTTCCACCTGCTCCTGGAGAGTCGAGGTCGTCCCCTTCACCTACTCCGTCTCCTCACGCACTTCGTGAATCAACGATTTGAGTATGTTCATCTTTTTCGTGATTTGTCGAATCGTGATTCTTGCTTGTCCTCAAACTTCCGAAACCAATCGGGTGCACTTGCATCCACCACTGCCTTTAACCCGTCCCGTCCTCCCCACTTGAAATATTCTTGATGGCTGAGGCGGCCTTGCGTGCACGATTCCACATTTGCGAGTCCACAAAGCCGCTGGCTCCACGCCGCGGCTTCCCATCTTCCGGCATGATCTCACAAGCACCGTGCACGGTCGAAAGGAGCAAAGCGAGTTCGATTGGGGGAAATTCCACGAACCAGGACCGGTTTCCATCAGGACCCTTTTTTGTCAAATGCCAATATTTTCCTTTTGGTGCCAGAGTTGTCATGGCGTTTGTCTGGACGAGATGTGCTTGAATTGTGACATTACTTTCAGTGTCATCGCTGACTCCATTCCACCCGCCATGCCGTCTGCGTGTTTCGTGGGCCCCTTTGGTGTCTCATTTCAGAGTGCCCCCCTAAGCTTGCTCTGGGCCAGCGTGGCCACGTCGCGCACCCCGTTCTCACCATGGCATTGAGGGAATAGAGAGTAATCCAATGATGGGCACAGGGCTTGCTGCAATGCCGCGTCCTCCTCCCTTCTCCTTCCCTGGGGGTTCTCTGGAGGTCCCTGCGGGGTCTCATCTTGGGCCTCGGCTGGCTCCTGGGGGCACAGAAATGACAACACGAAATAAGACATCTCAAGCGTGGGACCTCGAGCAGCGAACCTCGGTGCTCGAGTCCCGAGACACCTGAGCCTCGAGGCGAGAGTCTTGGCTCCAGTGAGGCCCCCCCGACCAGGTAGGCGGCGGCAGAGTAGCAGCCCCAGTCCAGGGGCCGCCCGACGAAGCATGGTGATGACAGAAAAGTCGGCCCCCCGACCGAGCTAGTGTCAAGTACTTCGGAGGGGGATCCTCGATGCGAGGCCCACCCGACACAGTAGACAATGGAAGAGCGGTCCCGGGTCACGGATTCGTGGAACACCGTTGTGGAGGAGACGATCGGGGCGTGGCATCGGTCGAGCACCCAGCGTTGGAGGGCAGAGACGTGTTGAACACTCGGTGGTTGTGCTCGCAGTGGTTGAAGTGCAGGTCATGCTGGAGCTCGCGCTGACCGTACTCGCAAATGGTTGGCCCCGCCCCGATTGAACTCCACGAGGTAGCGGACCCATCATTATGTGCCAGAACACTCGTTGGCCAGGCAACTGGGTTGGCGGGGGTTGGATCGGGACGATCGAAATGGGTACGGAAAGAATGGGTACAACCACCGACAGCATTTGTCCATTATGAACAGCATTCGTTTTCGGCGTCGCGGCGTTTGTCAATCATTTGGAACAACAAGACCTCTTGGCCAACAGCGGCTGCTGTCGGTGCTTGACAACATTTGTTGCTTGGCATTGTGCTAATGTTTTCCGTACCCAAGTTCGGGCATCCACATGGGAGGATCAGTCTCCGTCATGCCAACCTTTCGCCGGCGACGTCAGGTTCCGCAGAAGAATGACGGCGACGAGGGCTTGCGCTTTTTCAAGGCCCTCGCTTCTCCCTCTCGCCCCTCCAGAGAGAGAGGATCACCGTGGGCACGAGACATTCGTGCCTCGCGGTTGGGATTTCTTGGCCGCGACCCCGTGGACACAGGGCGGCTTTGTGCGGAAGCCTCGCGCGGCACGTGTCCATGGGATCGCGTATCCATCGGATCGTGCTTCGGTGTCCTGACAGCGAGGGCATGAATATGGATGTAGTCGTCGCTCGTGAGAGGAGGAGGAAGATCGGAAGGAGGAGGAGGAGGAGGATCGAGGCCACGATCGAGAGTGAAGCTTTCGAGGTCGATACCGCAAAGGCCCGTACACTTCGTGACGTTGTTCGCAACTTTTTTTCAGTACTTGCTGGTGCATGTTGTCGATCCGGTCGTGCTTGAAGGGACTGGGGAGTCAGTGCGCGCACGGGAAACATTCGTGTTGACAAATGTATGGCTTATGATCAAGAGCGGTTCGCTTCGGCAAGTGTATGGGCATCGCCTTGTGCTTCTTCGATAAGCATTATTTTATGCAGCATTCATCAGATTTGAGATAATTGGGGCTGCAGCGCATTGCATTTGCCTTGCTTTGAGTTGCTTTGAGTTGCTCTGGTAGTCCGAGCGCATTTCGATGTACTCTCGATAGTCCATCGCACTGGCATGAGACTCCCGTGTGTGACCATCTTGGGTCCGTTTTCGCGGGGACGTCCTGAGGTTCTTTCTCATCTTCATCCTGCTGATATGTCTTCTCTTTTCTCACATTTCTAATTTTCTACACCTCGGGAAGGAGGATGACGATGCGAAACAACTGGTGGAAGGCCACTTGCCTCGGACCACGCCTCCACCTCCGTCAACTGGAGGCTGGAAATCTGTCATGACAGTCGCCACAAACACTCGGGATGAAAAACATGCGTCTTCAGGCTCGGGGCGGTCATGCGGGCAGGTTCTTTTCCGAGCTTGCAATGGTGATTGGCGCTTCATCACCCTCTTCCCCTTCATTTCGCTTTCCCTCTCCATTTGGTCCCTTGGCCATCTTGTCCATGCCAGCTTGAGAACTTGGTCTCCTTGCAGGCTCTTCTGGCGAGGCCGACACGTTAGCTTGGGAGGCTTGTGTGCGCCGTGTGAATGCGCGGGGAGACGCGCCCCATACCGCATCTTCGGGTTCTGAGTCCCCTCCCCTCTTCTTTCCTTCCGCGCTCGCCTCCTAGGAGCGCAGGCTGCAGGCCTTCTATCTGCCTCCTTTTCCTCTTGCTCCTCCTCTCTCCCGCAACAGGCTTGTGCGCAAATGCCCACCGCGGCTGAGCATCGGGAGTGGCCTGCTGCTCTCGTTGCCATTGTTAACGTCGGCGTTGTCTGCGAGGCTTCCCTTTGGGGTCTCGTCTCGTTTCTTCCTGGCTTTTTCAGTTATCCTCCTTAGGTCGCTATTTTGGAGGCCTGGTCAGCCCTCTGTGCGTGCCTCCTCTCCCGACGTTGTCGTTGTCTTTTATTTGCTATTTCAGCTCATCGTCCTGCCGCCAAGCCGCTCGATGTTCGAGGACGTGTAGGTTTGTGATGTTTTTTTGGTCGCGGAGCTTTTTACTGCGCCCTAGGTGGGATCCTATTATGTCGGTCTTGCGTTTCCCTCTTCGTTCCTCCTCCTGCATCTTTTGTCCTCTTCCCCTCCTCATGTGGCTTGCAGTTTTGTGTTAATGTTTGCTTGGGGCAGTGTTTAAGCTGAGTATGTATACATGCGAATGCCCCCTCACAGGAGGAGTGTGTGTGTGTGTGTGAGTGAGTAGGCGATCCCACACAAACTATCCGTTGGCGTTTGCACATACGGAGCCCGTTTGCCAATTCGCTTTTGTGAAGCCCACAGAAGGACTTACTGTTGATTTGCTGCGCAGGCGGATTTGGCGTGTTCCTTCAAGCAGGACCGAATGTTAAAAAGTACACATAATGACTCAATGTGAAGAGTCTATGTCACCGAAGCCGATGTGTAAACCATCCCTCGCAAGTTGTAAAGGTCACATTCTCAGATTCTTCTTGAGCGTCCTCCCTCACATACGGAATCGGTTTGCACATCCCCCCCGCATAGAGGTTTCCTCCGTGAAGCTCACACGGATTCTGCTTGAAAGGTCTTCTTGGCAGAATGGATCGGTCGATGTGGGTATTTTTTCCGCAGCAGGATCTCAGGCTCAAGTTTGTCACTCGATGCGTCTGTGTGTATATATCACATGGAACGCTTCCATCACACGGGAAGACTAGTCGGCGCGTGGAGTATAAGTATTGTGCTCCAGTCGGGTGGGGAGTTCTGCGGTGAACAATGCGCATTTTTTTCGTTTATCCTCTTCCGCCTCCCTCCCATTTCCATCGCGTCTTCCAGCGTCACAGTGCTGTCCATACGTTTCTGCGTGATTGCAAGGACTCGCACGTGCTCCCAGCGCGTTGCCAGGCTGGCCGGCGCACGCAAATCTAGGCCTGTTTGCGATCAAGACGGATGGCAGGACAGCTTGGGGGCGGCCGGGGCGAGCTACGCGCAAGTCGGAGCTGCGGGCTCCGCGCCGCCGGGTTCCGCCGCCCATGCCGGGCGCGCGCCCCTGCCAGCGGCGCCGTCGCCGCCGCCGCGGCGCTGCGGCGGAGACGATCCCGGCCGCCCTGGCGCCAGGCTCGCCGCCTTCTTCGCAGGGCGGTCGCGGCTGCCGCGCGCTCTCGCGCAGGGGCCGGGCCGCGCCGCCTGACTCCGGCGCGGCGCCAGCGCAGCGGCGCCGGCGGAGGCGCTCGGGAGTGCGTGCCCAAGGTGGAGGGAGCGGCTGCCGGCGCGGGGGCTAGCCTTGCTCTTGCTGCACAACGTGCGCTGCTCTGGGGGCAGCGTTTCCGAATTCGCGGCGCTGGCGGCGCGGCGTATCGCGCAGTTCCCCAAGGTGCCCGACTGAGTCGGGCGCGTGTTCGGGGCGCCTGCGGCGGCGTTTGTCGCCCAACCCTGCTCGTCAAAAAAGCAAGTCGGAGCTGCGCAAGATAGGCGACGCGATCGATCGCGAGATCCAAGCGAAGGGTTATCCTAAGATGGGGCCGACATGGGGCGAAGGGGTTGTCGTGGGGACTGCGCGTGGGATTGAGCATGCCGGGGCGACGAAGCCGGGGGGCGCTGGGAACGAGTATGACGAGGAGGTCTACAACACCATTATCGGGGCGCCGTGCAACGCCAGACAGCTGGAGGCGAAGGACCAGAACGACGTTATACGGAGGAGACGGTACAGCACGAGGGTGGTTGTCGAGGGGCATGGACAGATTGACTGGCGCGCAGCTTGCGAAGGGAATTCGGCGATGCACAACGCGAGAGGCAGGGCGAGGTTTTCGAGGATCTTCGGCGAGGCTGAGCCCAGGATCGAGACGGCAGACCCAGTAGGAGGAGCTCAACCAGACGGAGACGCAGCTGGCAGCACCAGCAGAGCGAACATCACCGGCAGGAGGAGCTCGAGTCCACGACCAGCGACTGGCGGATGCAGGACGTCGAACGCCAGGCACGCCGGCAGGACACCATGTCGGAGGAGAAGAACCTATCGAGCAGGACGTGGAGATCAGGGTCAAAGTGATCATCGCAGGAGGAGGCGCGGCAACGCTTACGCCCAGGAGGGGTGACATGAAGGAGACGGGCATCTGGATGTCGACCACTATGGAGGAGGTTCGCCGCGTCTGCGAGGAGATCCAGCCGAGGATGAATTTCGACAAGCTGGGGGGGGGGGCGGAGTCTACATGGACACGTACACTAGCGTGGAGTTGCCGAAATATCTGGCTACCAACGGCAGGACCAGTGAGATTCCGAGCGTGGGGGAGTTCGAGGACTGGATGAAGATGTTCGACAACGCGGGGATCGACAGAAAGAAGTACGCTGCGCAGTGCAGCGAGTTGATCGAGAGGAGCCGTTTCGTAGCAGGTGCCGCGGCGGAACAGACCCTTTGAGTTTGCAGGGATGTACGTATTGCGGGCAGTTCTACGGCATTGTGGGAGTTTGCAGGGATGCAGGCATTTGAGTTTGCAGGGGTGCACGCTTATTGTGGTACAGGAGGACGACGAAGCGTGTGTTCTATGATATCTCAGCGGCGATTTTTCTTGAGTCGCTGATGGGGCCCCAGCGCCGTTGGCCATCAACAGAACAAAGGCGACCAGGAATGCTCAGGGTGCTGCAGAAGGCTATGTATGGCCCGCCAGAAGGGGCCAACGTTGCCCCAGGGGGAAGTTCGAGATTCCTTCGGCCAGGGTGGGGTATCAGGAGTTGAAGACGGTGTTTTGCTTATATCACCACCCAAGTATTGACTCGCTCTGCGCAGGACATGGGGGCGATTTCGTTGTGGAGGCATGCGCTGATGGCTTGGGCGCCTTTGACGATATCATGGCGAGTCGTTTCAAGGTCAGACCTCAGCCTCGAGTAGGGCCAGGAGGAGCAGCAGAGGGAGACTTCATATGCGGGGTGGCTCTTTGGGGCGAGGGGGGCCTCGGTACTCCGACAGACCCGATGCTGATCTTGGAGATGGTTGGACGTATGTGATTTGAGGCATGACAACGCGGCCGCGCCTCCGATTTCGAAGCGCACAGTTGAGGGGGTCCGAGAAGCCGGGGACCCAGTGACGCGGCAGAGTTTGATGGTCTCTCGTTGTTCTGGTGGCATGTTTCAGAGCCTAGGTGGAGATCGATGGGTTATGCAGGATGGCGGTCGAGGGCCTAGCTGCTCGCATGGCGACCAGCGGGCGAAGCACATCCAGGAGCGGAAGCGCCTGGTCAGATGCGTGAAGAGGGTGGCCGGTGATAACATTTCGGGAAGTATTTTCCGTGGCGGTCATTTGCTGGAGAGTTGGTTTATGCCAGGGGCGATGCTGGCATTCTCGAGTGGAGGGTCGGAGTCCTACGCGGCGGGGCCCAACGGCCCAGGGGCTCAACGTCGAGCACGCGTTGCAGGAGACGGCTGAGAAAAGGCGTGGGCAAGTCAATATCTCCCTAGAGATTGGGGCGGTCTCAGCAGAGGCGAAAGATCGGATTCAC